CTTTTCTCCGTACCCACCATGAAATGTAATATGCTCTCCCATTTTTCTATCGCATGTTGATCTAGCAGACTGACGTCCAGTGGTTTGCTTTTGTGTTTTTCTAACGGAACACCAAAACTTTGACGAGGCCCGCTTTGAGAAAAAAACTTTTTATTAGATAATGAACAAATGCATCAATTTGTAGACCCAATTATTTATTTACCTCCCCGTTAAGCAATCCTGAAAACTACGTCGAAATGATTTGTTCAACACCACTTTCTCATGTTGCTCGATCATCTGCAATTTCGTCAATTTGTCGAACGACTCATCAAACTTCCTAAATTTTGATAGATCAAAAAATCAAGAATGATGTTAAAATCAGAAACCAATTACCATAAGTAATGCCTTTTTCATGACCTTCATAAAACCGTTCGCCGGAGTCATTGAATTTAATACATACGCCAAAGACTCCTTATCATTTTTAATCCACTGTTTGAATTCACTTTTACTTAGACCCTCTTCATCAAAAAGTAAGGACATCACTAGTTGTTTCGCTAATGATGGTAGGAGCCTTATTCATTTTGTTTGTTTGTTTTTTTTTTGTAGTTAATATTTGGTTAGATTTTGTTCATATTTACGTCCAAAAATTCAAATTTATTTGTAACAAAATAATTCACGGGCAATGATAATATATTTATATTGAATAGGATATGAATCATAGAGATGATTAATATTTTTTGATTTTTCACAATTTTATTCGTTTGACAGAAAGGTACAGAATTTGAGGCGATTTTATTTAGTAAGATCAAAATAGGTTTTCAAAGAAGAAATTGTGATCCATGATTAAAAAAAAAAAAAAGGAATCCCAATCACCAACCCGATTCATTTTAATAAGTCGAATTAATGTGTGTGTACGCATGTATAAAAAAAAATGCATAAAGTTAGCAAAATTTCAATGTAATGAACGTTATATTTATTTTACAAAACCTACGTCTAATAAAAAAGAACGCCGTAGAACAATTTTTATTATAGCATGTACAAGAGCTCTATTAGCAAAACTAAAAAACAAGGGTAAACAGAGGTTAAACGCTAATATACCAAGGTCAAGAAGAGCAACCTTTTGTGTAAAAAGGAAAAAGAAAGAAAAAAAAGGTACTTTAAATACCATTGATATCCCATCATATTTTCCAGAAAATAAAGAAAAAAAAAAACTTATTTTTGAATAAAAGCATAACGGTTTAATCTAAACTTTCCTCCAAAAGAAAAAAAAAAAAAAAAAAAAAAAAGACTAGACTAGATCACAAAATGAAGGGGAAATAAAGAGACTTCAAACTAACCTAAATATCGCCAAGCAGGTCGCAGGCTCTTCGTACAGCTTGTCTAATGTTGTTTTTTGTAAGGCTTCCAAATATTCATATATATTGGTCTTAAAGTGTGCGACTACTTTTGTTGGCATCTTCAAATAGAACTGGTTTTCAATGAAATTTGATCAAGATAATAAATACATTTATGTCACCCTCCAACCGCTACGTGACTGCTGACTGTCGATCCTACAAATATGTTACGCACGAATCGATCTTTTTTTTTTTTCTTCTAGTAAGAATGTTCAAAAACCCTATACTATTTTAATAGTAAAGGAAAGGTTTTCCCGTTTTTAATTAAGAACACAGAAAACATCGATTTTCTTTGAAGCGTCTTGCTTCAAGGATCTTTGATTTCTATAATGGGTTAGGACATAAAATAAAAATGTGGACTCATAGTGCACAGGAGGACAAGGAAATAATATTCTTTTTCATCTTCCATGTGTCTCCACCAAACCACTACATTTCTTATTCGTAAAAACCACGTATCATGCTTCGCTCTATTTACATTTCACAAGCTCATTCTAGTCAAGAGTCGGCAATTGAGCCATCATGTCTTTCACTCTTTTCAAAACTATCTCATTATCACATTCGATACAAGAATCTACGTACGGGGGCGCGATGCGAGCGCAATCCATTATACAAATGGTTGAATCATACGCATCGTGTGTCACAGGAATTCTTTGCTAAACAAAAAAGAATGTTATGTTAAACATGGTATATGTTTACTTGTGTTCAATGACAGATACTTGCCGACGTGAATAACGAGATCAGATGTTCTTTTCTTTGTCTCATTCTTTCCGAATCCATCGCGTAATCTTCCGCCTTTTTGTCGACTATCGAGTCCAATAGATGCCTTGGTATTGCTTCTTTGTCATTGTTCACTTTTTGAATAGCGATAATGTGATTCACTACATGTAGGATATCACCTTTCCCCGAAC